TCAAAATTAAAACTACACTATTTTAATTAATTTAGGAATAATTATCAATAAATAGTTTCAATAATATCAATAACCTCTCATGCTGTCAAGGCTCAGAACAGGGGACCCAGTATTCAATGCAGACAGACAGTTGGATAATTCAAAAAGGTTTATTTAAAAATGGCGGATCTGCAATAACAGCAAGGACATCTAAGGCAGGATTAGACAGGTTAGTTAACCTGTCATGGTCATCCTCTGACAGAGGATGATTATGAACGTGTGAGTCACTAACCTGGTTTAATAGTTTAGTCTGTGACCAGAGAATAAGCTAGGACCCAGCCTGTGGGCTGCCAACAAGATGCATTGGGCGCCACCCAGTGTCCTTAAGCCAAAGCCCCGCAGGACAGAGAACAAGCAGGAGACCAGATCCGCGCAGACAAAGGAGGGCAGGGAAATCCAGAGGGCGAAGCCAAAGCCTGTGTCGAGGACTTGCTCAGGGTTCAGAACTAGAAGATCAGAGGTCCAAAGAAGTTCCAAAGGGAAAACCAGGTTGGTGACAGGAAGCAGTTCCAAAGACAGGTCAGGGAAACAGAGCCAATGGGAACAGGCAGGCTCAGTATTTGAGAGGCAAAAGATGGGCCAGGATCAGACAATTAGAAACACTAAGGTAAGGCTAGAAAACTCTCACCATTGGCTCAAGAATAATTTTACCTGATGACTGATTAGAGGGCTGAATGGCAACGAGAAACCGGGCAGAGCTATAGGCTAGTGAATGGAATCGAGCCACGCATCAGTGCCAAGATCAAGGCACTGATGTAAGAGTCACTTACCTGGTTTAACAGTTTAGTCCATCCTCTCAGTCATAGGCAGGATAAGCCGATACAATGCCAACGAGATGCGGCTCTGAGCTGTCCAGAGCGTCCCCGCTCTGGTCTGCTAAATTCATGTCCTGGACTCTAATCCAGGACAAGAATTTAGATCAGACTGGAGTAGTTCTGGAATCCAGGAGTCCGCAGTCAGCCGGTCAGGGGTTCCGATCCACACAGGAACGGAAACATCCGATTTCCAGGAATCCATCAGAGCATGAAGGTAGGTTCAGACTCCCATGCTTCGAGTGACCATCTCAGACAGAAACGCACCTGGGAGGACAGGTTCAGAATCCCGTGCACTGAGCAACCAGCTCAGACAGAAATGCACCTGGGAGAACAGGTTCAGAGTCCCGTGCATTGAGCAACCGATTCCAACCGGAGTCCAACCGATTTTTAGGCGAACAATTCAGACAGGGACAGACGGGGCAAGTGGGTGAGAGGGAATGGAATGAGGAAATAAGAATCACTCGGTAAATGTTGAAACGCTCTCACCACTGGTTAGGAAATAAACTAGCCTGAAGACATGGGCTCAATAATAATCTCCTACTGGAAACAGGGACATGAACCTTGGAAATAACTAAAACTAAAAAAAAACAATAGGCAGGATATAGAAAAATCAAACAAACAGCAAATAATGATCTGGCCTCAATAGATGGGCTGGACCGAATATAAAACAGAGCCTCCAGGTGGATCAGATGAGAGATGATTAGGAGCCGGTTAGAACTAGGCAGGTGAGTGAAATCAACAATTAAGGCCAGCTATCAGGGCAGATCATGACACACGGATTTTTGTTTTGACATATTTTTCAAACTGTCACTGTGTTCTGAGAGAAGATCACAAGGCAGCTAATATTTGAAAGAAATTATGCTCCTCTAGGAGGGAGAAGCTATGAAAGAAGGGCTGTAGGACAGCAGAGAGTAAGGGTGAGAGGCCTGAAAGGTGTGCTTTTTCACATTTTTGGGCTAGGTCCACTTTTCTCAGAACTCCTTTCTAAAGCTTAACCCTTTAATTACCGGGAAACATTAATAGAAATTAGACAATGTTCTTTTATTCACCTAAATGGTAAATGCCCTGTACTTATATAGCATTTTTTTTAAGCCAGGAGACTAAATCAAAGCTCTTTACACTACATTCAGCCATTCACCCATTCACACATACACTGATGGTCAAAAGCTAAACTGTAGCCATAGCTGCCCTGAGGCTCACTAACAGAACCCAAGCTGTGATACACTGGCACCAACAGGCTCTGACCACTATCATTAGGAAATGTGGACTATGTGTCTTGCCCAAGGACACAATGACATTGAACCAACAACCCTCCTGTTGAAGGGTAAACTCATTTATCTGATGCTACTGCCGCACCATTAACATCTTGTTCAAGTACTGTATGCAATTAGATAAGAAACAAGCCTCTCCCAGAAAATTCCTGATCATCTCCACCAACTACTGCCATCACCATCTGCTTGATGGATGGCACTTTGTCAGCAGTTTTTTGTCCAATGATTTTCAAATAAATCCTTCAGTCCTTCTGTAATTAAGACTACAGGTACATAAAACAAAAATGATCAAATATAATCTGATCAGACAAGGCTCCACCTTTTTTAGGAAGTATATGGGTATCTGTATGTATGTTGTTAAATTGTAATTTGAATGTGATTCCTGGAAAATAAATGGATGAATGAATAAATCTACTCAACCATTCATCCATCCTTATTTCTGTTGAATATGAATCTAATTTAAAACTTTTAGCACTCATAAAAGAAGACCGATAAAACAAATTGCTGTGCTTAGGTCAGTGCAGTCAGTGATTGATTTTTGTTCCCTATAAGGAGCCAAGCTAATTATTAAGGCAATCGGTTGTTTGAAGAAGGTTCCTAAAAGCATTGGGCATTGCCAAAAATGTAGGTATTTTAGATGAGAGCGTGAGAGCTCATCAGGAAAACCAGGTTCAAATATCTGCAGTGTTTTTAAATTTCAATATTGCTGTTGTAGACAAATAAACATCAGAAGAAGCAGGGTTTACTTAACTTTCTAGGTTTGTCCTACTAAGCTTTGTCCAGTTAATAAACTACTGAAGAGGCGTTGCCAGCAATGACGCAGATATCTTGTAAATACATCAATAGTGAGGAATGCAAACAAATGTTTAGCCAAATATAATAAGAGATAAGGAAAATCCACCCCATACACTCTGTATACCGTATGTATTTAAATCACAAATACTGGCTCAATAAATAAACACCTTTGCTTGTTCCACATCAGTTTCTTGTGGTAAAAGTGCACAGAGGAATTTTATAACCACTATATCTGAAGTTAAAAAAAAAAGTTTCATATGTTACTTAAATACTATTGATATGCTGTGATAAAACTCATTCCTCTATTTTAATGGCTAGGTGGACTCCATATGCACAGTTTTACCCATGTTTGATATGATTAGACTAAAATATGACTAATGGGAAATAATAATAGTAAAAGAACACTATGACCACCAGCCTATGCGTCACTCCCTCTTTTGCTGCCAAAATATCCATTAGCCATTCAGGCCGGGACTCAACTGGACCCCAGAGAGAGAGATTCAATACCTGGCAAGAATGTTTTAGAGGTAGATCCTCTAAATCCTCCAGTTCACGAGGTGTGGCCTCTGCAGATTTGGCCAAAACGTCTCAAGGGAGTCCGATAGGAATGAGATTTTGGGAATTTGGGGGTAAAGTTATCACCTACATCCGTTTTGTTTTTGTTTGTTTTTTATTTTAACAGTTTCTGTTTTTTAACATTTTGCATTATCCTACTGTCTAACTTTCTTTGTATGGCACTATTCATATTGTAGGCAGTTAAGAGTGTTAATATGAAGGAAAAAGAAAGACAAAAAAAATACTTTAAAGACCATACCATGAAATCCAGTTTAATTTTAAATAAAATAGAAAAAGAGAATGATTTATTCATGAAAATGTATTTATTATTTATTTTATCAACTCAACGAAGCTAAAGAAGTTGTAGAGTTTCTACAACATTGAACTTTCTTTTGAGGTTAGCAAAATATATTTTTTAATTTAATTAAACTGAATGTAACTAAATTGGCTTGAATTTAACTGAATCAAATCAAATCAAATAAAATAAAACCGAACACATATACTATACTATAAAAATAGTAACATAGGTAACATCAAACATTCCCTCATTTCATGAATTGAAAAGCATTTAAAAAGCCATAAACATTAAGCTGATTCACTGCTGTATTTTGGACTACGTTTAATAATAACTTATAACTCAGGCTAGGAACATACAGTTGGAGGGAATTTTTAAGAGATGTTCTGATAAGTATTGTTTTCATAACATTTTCTCCCTCATTAAACTAACTCAAATCCTCATGACTGCCCATTTCTCCTCTACTCCTAGCACATCGTATTTGTTACTTTTTATGTTAGATCCCAGTCATACTTTTCTCATCTTTTATTTTTTATTAGATATCCCCAGCCTGAATAAAATGACATAACAAGTATAAAGGTAAAATCTGTTTGACTTACTTAAAGACTTACATGTAAGTATGTAAGATAAACATAAGGTCAGTTTCAGTTAAGCTTATTTGAAATCATTTCTAAAACTGTAAATATCGAAAATCTACTTTGTTAATTATTTACCTGGAAGAAAACCCTTTTTGTTGACAGAAAGCTACAGTAACATCTTCCTAAAATAGTCTGTTGAGTGTTTGTTTTCTAATATACATGTTAGTGGTACTTGTTCTGCATTATTTCACTGTCACCTTCCCCTTTTTTCCAACACATGACTCAGCACTTTGTATTGTTGCGTGAGACAGTTGGAGCAAAACTATTTGCACAGCTTGCTTTAGGCAAATACCATGTAATCTCTTCTCTGGTATTTTTTATCTTTAAAAGTCTTTTTGTTGTATTAATGTTTGAAACAGATGATAACTGATTAACACTCGAGTTCCACCTTCCCTCTAGTAGCTTTTAATGGTTTCCCGCAGTTCCCAGTCCTGTCATGTTCCGAAATCAGCATTCCAACCCCGTCTCTGACTCTATTCGGGTCACTGAGTTACCCAGCCTTGTAGAAAATAGGATTTTGTTCAAAGGGAACAGTGAGCTGACTATGCCCCACCCCTTCAGCATATGTACGCCCACGTCAGCGCGTAGCATGATCCGCCGCTCGATCCGCAGTCTCCATCTCCTGCCGGTGTAACCATCGTGAACTCCTAAAGGACAAGAGACCGTGCTACGGCCACATTACCAGATTATTTTATCAGCAGATCGTCATCAGACATGGAAGCAGCCTCCCCCTCCAGTCAGTGCAGGTAGGACTGCGAAGTGCTTGTTGTTGGTGCTGAAGTCATCCACATATGAAGTCTAGGATATATTACTGGAATTATTAGCCTTTATAAACACAGATGGACGATTTACGTCTACTTGAGAAAATTATGTCCACATAATCTAGTCAGTGTTGACATGACGGTTTATTTTAAGGATTACACCAGCCAATCAGATATTTTACTCTGCCTATGACGTAAGCGCGTTGTGTTACAGGTGGCAATAGCCTGTTCCTACAGAAACTACACCAGGAAATCGGCATTTTCTTTTAACCGAGAACCTGTTTTATGGCTCTCTGAGCACTAAATATTTGTAGATAATATTTTGTGTTTCTGTTCCACGCCCTTGTGGTTTAGAAACTGACCAAACTGCTTATACTCGCTTGTTCTTTCAGATCAGAAACAGTTAGGCTGTCTGAGGGCCCCGTGCGCCCTGGGGCAGTAATATAGAATACCCTCAGCACCACGGACAGCTCCGAATCAGACTCCGTAGAAACGCACGATCCTGCTTTCTGTTACTTAAGATGTAAGATTATTAAGAGTGAAAAAAAAACTCATTATTAAATGTAGTTTGTGGATAAATTATTTATCGAATGAATAGTGGTATTAATTCAACACTCATTGGCCTAAGTAGTATAAACACCTTTATCAGGTGAATTGAAGAAGACAAAAAAGAAACTACAGCCATGGGTAAAAGTGATTTTATTCTAAACAGAATATTTTCCTTGCTTAGCCAAAACATTTGACCAGAGTAAACTATTCACCATGCTTCCTTCTACTTCTTTTATTTTTACTTTTCCAATATTACAAAGATTCGCTTGTTTTCTTACTTTTATCTAAAAAATATCTATAAATGTTTTATTTATTGGTCTTTGGCACTTAACTCTGACAGATGGCTCATCCCAGTAAATATAAGCCAGAAGTTTAAATAACCATATCATCTACATTCAAGCCATGTAGAGTTGGGGCATTCTTGTCCAGGATCCTATTTTATAGGTGGAAGGATTTTATAGCAATCAACAGGCTCAAATACATACATACATACATACATACATACATACATACATACATACATACATACATACATACATACATACATACATACATACATACATACATACA